AACGATTGTGCATCAGGGACTCTCCAGTGCACATGGCATTGACATGGCCCTGTCAGTAACTTCTATTGGGCAACACTGGTTTGGGTATCGTGGGCCTGCATCTTACCATATTTTAGGCAGCATGTCAAATACAGCAAATTTCATGGAGGGTTTCTATCCGTGAGGCCGAGTGAGTTTTATCACATTATCGTCCCAAACCTGTCTCATTAATCTCCCGCCCATCCCTACCCCACAGCACCCTTCTTGTCCAATACTAGTCTGATTCCACCATGTGCCACAGCCCGAAGAACTCCCCACTGCCTGGATATCCCAAATGGACTGGCATCCCCGACAACAGTGCCATCTTCAGTCCAGAGCTGACCCACACGGTTCAGGATGTAGCACAGAAGGGATAATGGGCATTCCACTTTCCAGGCAGGGTCTGGAGGCCCTGCTGGATATTGGTTGGGGGGAGCTGTTTCAGACATGGTTCATTCTCTACCCCCTGGACCAACAGAGAAGGACACAGCAATAGGGCATACCAGCCGCCTGGGTCAGTGTAGTCTGCAGGAATGCCCAGCGATGGAAGAAGGAGGTTAATGAACATCTCCTCTCTGCCTGGGTAAGTGCTACCATCTTCTCACGCTCCCTCCCTCTCTCCCTGCTATTGTACCCAGCTCCCACTCTCCTCCTCTCACTATTACCTGTAACACCTTCCCCCACTTACCCTCATCCACACCACACCCCCCACCCCTTACCTCACAAGGCCTCTTTGCTGCCTACTCACTCACTTGGCATACCTCACCACCTTTCGCCCACCCTCACCAGCTGTGCCACCCATTTTCATCTCCTTTCTTTCATCCCAGGAGAAAACAGCCCACAAAACTGGTGGTAGGCTTCCTGGAATCCCTATAGTGTGGAAGCAGGCCATTCAGCCCATTGGGTCCACACTAACTCTCCATAGGACATCCCACCCAGACCCACACACCTAACCCTGTAACCCGGCATTTCCCCACATCTAATCCACCGAGCCTTCACACCACTGGACACTACAGGCAATTTAAGCATGGCTAATCCACCTAACCTGCATGTCTTTGTTACTGTGGGAGGAAACCGGAGCACCCAGTGGAAACCCACGCAGACACGAGGTGAATGTGCAAACTCCACACAGACAGTCACCCAAGGCTGGAATCGAGCCTGGGTCCCTGACACTGTGAGGCAGCAGTGCTAACCACTGAGGCACCGTGCCACATGCAGGTAGGCACTGAGTAAGGCACAGAGCAAGTGAGCAGCCTGGTCCTGCACACTGTAGGCTGTAAGCAGCATCACAACAGGAGGTGGTCAGAGAGGAAACTGCA